GACGCCAGTAACATCGGCCTTGGTGCAGTCCACGTCCAGTGGCAAGGCGGCGTCGAACGCCCTATTGCTTATGCGAGTCGGATTTTATCATCTGCGGAGGCGAATTACACAACTGAAAAGGAGTGCCTAGTTGTTGTATGGGCAATAGCTAAATTCAGACCGTACCTGTATGGTCGCCCGTTCAGAGTTGTTACCGATCATCATGCGCTCTGCTGGTTGGCGAACCTTAAAGACCCTTCCGGACGTCTGGCCAGGTGGAGCTTACGCCTTCAGGAGTTCGATTTGACAGTCGTGTACAAGTTTATTTTTTTATTGATTGATTCCTCAAAGGTCCCATAGGGACATTACATGAGGGGTGGGCATGACGCGGCACTTGAAAGAAGGGTAACAACATGGTAACGGCAACAGACTATGTACAGAAGTTATGGCGGCACTTCTATATAAGGGGTGCGGCACAATACTAGAAAGGAGGGTTACAATATCGTAGCGACAGCAACAGAATGGGTACATTAATTATGGGGGCACTACAATGGCGTGCTTGAAACGAGATTGGTCCATGATGGTAGCAACTTCAGCAGGTAGGTCATTCCAGTCTCGGGATGTGCGTATGAAAAATGATTGTTGGAATGTATTAGTATGGGCACGTTCCGGATAGACTGCGTTGGCGTGGCTAGTACGGGAAATACGGTGAGCTAGTCGGATGTACTGATTTCTGAGTTGTTGCGAGTGGAAGAATTTGTGGTAAAGACACAGTCGAGCTATTTTGCGGCGAGATTGAAGTGAAGGAAGGTTAAGGTCTGCTTTTAACGCTGAAACACTTGAATAATGAGAGTAATCAGACAAAACAAATCGAGCTGCGCGATTTCGGACAGATTTCAGGGTGTTGATCAAATGAGTTTGGTAAGGATCGAAGATAGCGTTTGCATATTCTAATTTGGGCCGCACGAAAGTTTCGTATGCAAGTAATTTTATTGAGGGAGGGGTTAGGCCAAGATTACGGCGCAGGTAGCCAAGAGCACGGTTAGCTGAGTTTGTTATGTGGTTAATGTGACAAGACCAGTTTAAGTCGTGGGATATATGGACACCTAAGTATTTAACCGAGTCGGCAGAATCAATAGCAATATTGTTAATAGTATACTTAGGCTGCACAAAATTGTGGCGGTGGTGGAAAGAAACGTGCACAGTCTTTTGGACATTTAACGACATCAGCCAGTTATTGCACCAAACCTGTACGCGAAATAAGTCTTCTTGTAGTGCGGATATGTCACAGGTGCTACATATAGAGCGATAAAAGACGGACGTTCGATGTAAGATTTGTGGGGAGATCATTTATATATATGAGAAAAAGTCTGGCCGGAAGCATACTGACGCGGACTGCCTTTCCCGAGCTCCTCTTAAGACAGCGTCAGGTGATCACGATCTCGACGGCCGTTTTCTCTGCGCCGTTAGTGTATCCGACTTGGCTGAACAGCAGAAGGACGATTCCGAGCTTCGACAATTCATCCAATATCTCGAAGGCCGTACGCCGCATCCACAACCAGCATTCGCCCGCTCATCATCATCGTTCTGCGTCCGCAGAAATATCCTCTATAAAAGAAACTTCGACCCTTACGCGACTGAGTACCTGCTCGTTGTCCCGCCAGCGTTACGAGCCGATGCCTTGTCCGCCTGTCACGATGAGCCTTCCTCAGGCCACTTGGGATTCACACGTACCTTGGCCCGGATTCGCCAACACTACTACTGGCCTAAGCTCAGTCGAGACGTGAAGCATTACGTGAAGACGTGTCACGAGTGCCAGCGCCGTAAAGCACCACATCAGCGCCCAGCCGGCTTTTTGAAGCCCGTCGCTCCTCCGACACAACCGTTCCAACAAATTGGCATGGATCTACTCGGACCTTTTCTCAAGTCTCGTGACGGCAACTGCTGGATTGTAGTCGCTGCTGATTACATGACGCGCTACTGCGAAACGAAGGCATTACAACGTGGCACCGCCATTGAGACTGCCCACTTTTTTATGAAAAACATCATCCTCCGACATGGAGCACCAGCAGTTGTCATAACTGATCGTGGCACAGCTTTTACCGCCCGGATGATACAAGACGTCATGCAGCTTAGCGGCACAGTACATAGAAAAACTACTGCATACCACCCACAAAGTAACGGCCTTACAGAGCGACTAAACAAGACGATCGCCGACATGCTATCCATGTACGTTGACCAAGACCACAAAAACTGGGATGACATCCTCCCTTACGTCACGTTCGCTTACAACACCGCTGTGCAAGAAACAACTGGATTCACATCATTCCGGTTGTTTCACGGCAGGGAGGTCACTACAATGCTGGATGCCATGCTTCTACCAGACAGACACCAGATTAGTGTCAAGACGAACGAATTTATCAGACTGGCAGACGCGGCTCGTAAGCTTGCAGTCGAACGAATCCATAAGCAACAATGCATCGACTCGCTGCGGTACAACGCTCGTCGTCGCGATGTCTCTTACCAACCCGGAGAACGAGTATGGTTGTGGACTCCTATTCGACAACGGGGCCGGTCGGAAAAGTTGTTACGCCGCTATTTTGGTCCCTATAGAGTTCTCCGTCGTCTCAGCGAAGTGAACTACGAGGTTCTTGACGAGGACATGGCTCGTCAATTCCGCCGTTCACAACAGCGACACGTCGTCCATGTTTCGAGGATGAAACCATTTTACCAACGCTGACTATTCGTCACACTCCCTTGAGTAGACTTACAGTGATTGTGAACACCCCCTTGTGTACTGCTTATCGTACGTCTTTTCATCTGCCAATTATGTTATGACATCGAGACGATGTCCTTTGGGAAGGGGGGTAATGCCACTAGTACAAGTTCTACAAGTATTATTTACACATATGCTGGCATGCTTGTATGTGCCGCTGTTCAGAAGAGGACAAAGATGCGCGTGTAGAGAAAAACAATAGTCATACAGCCGTTGTTCAAATCAGTTTGACGTCCTTGTGTGCCATTATCTGCAGCTTACAGTTACGTTGTAACGTGACAATATGAATCTAATAGAGGTATAACCAAGTCGAATGCTAATACAAATCTAGTACTTTTCTAGTAGTTTTCAAATAGTAAGGAAACCTTTTTAAAAATAATCCTAGAATTCCGCAACAGTTTATTTGAAACAAGTATTCACAAACTGTCACCAAATAATACTATAATTATCAAAACTGTGATAAGCTTGTGTACAGCAGCGACCAGAGCCTTCGAAATACTTTTTAATTGTTTGTAGAAATACCATAGCAACTACAGTATGCAAGTTGAAATTTTGTTGCCATCTTTTAAATAAAATTGAGGCAAAAAATCTAAACCATTTTGAACCGAACATCATGCATGTAGCTAAGGATTTCTTGAAACAGGCAAAATTATCACAACATATACCTTGGCACAGAGAGCATGTAAAAATCAAGAGATGAAAGGTGTACCTGTAAGAACAACTTACGTGAACAAAAGACTTGCATCTGTTTTTATTAATGAAGCTGAATGCAGCCATCCCTAACTTCAATGATGAAGACAGGAAATGATTACTGCGATGCAGCTCCACCAAAGTAAATACGGAGTAAAAATGCAGTTAGCGACAAAAACACTTTTAATTGTAATGGTTATAGCATTGATAGTGTTGTCAATACTTGGGCTACATTTATAGTGGTAATTCAGGGATTGTAAGAAGAAAATGAACCTTCAGCTGATCCCATGTTTCCCTGCTTCAAGGTTGTCCCATAGGGGCCGATAATTTTTAAAATATTCAGTACTTCATGTATCGTTCAATTTGACTAGCGAATGCTATTCGTTGTTCAAATACTCACACACCCCAGATAATTTTGTCGCCGCCACTGGCCCACCATTTTTTTGTGTGAAGGTGATTGGGCATCTGTAAACATCACGAGTGCTTTTTTTTGTGCTGTATTCTATCTCTCATTGACCACACTTTTGCACATGCCTTAAGGTGCATAAATGAAAAAAAGAAAATGTACCTGGCTACAAGTGATGTCGGTTTGTGACATGAAATGGGAGTAAAAACAGAAGCGTATTAGATGAAAATTGCTCTGCACTTGAGGTCTCCAACTTGTGGGAACAGAAGGCTCTGCACAAACATTTATTTTTTCAGGTGGGTGAACTGGTGTCACAGCCATCATGTCCGAGCTTATTCGTGGTGCAAAGCGCACTGTTAATTAGAGTATGAACGCTCGAATAGCAGACAGCTTTCCAAGAACAGTGCCAACAGCTGATTTGTGAGAGAATTCATGTTTGCTGGGCCGATGCAGCAGTTTGGGCACATTAACAGACCAAGATGGGGAAGCACAAGCAGCAGCTGTGCACCAAGGATCTAGCAGCCTTCCAAGCCAAAAGCAAGTGACAATGGCGAGCTGAGGAAGCAACATTGCAGACAAAGCAGCGTCAACGTTCAAATGGCGGCATTGAGTTCGCAGGGCCTATGCTGGCTTTTGGCGGGAGTTTCTTGAGTTGCACTTGGGCTTCGGCTGCAATATCTGCAGCTGCCTGAGGCCGCACATTCAGCTTGGCTCGTTAACCATCTGTACAAAGTGCTTGGGTGCTTTTTTTTCTTATCATCCAGTCTAGAACACTTCAAGTGGCCTTTACACACAAATATACAATGTGCCTTGCCCTTACCTGCTTTTGTGGTGTAGTGGCTATGGTGCTTTACTGCTGAGTCAAAGGTTGTAGGATTGAATTTCAGCCGTGACAGACACATTTTGATGGAGGCAAGAGCTGGAAGACCCCTGTGCTTAGGTTTAGGTGCATGTTATTTAAATGGTCGAAATGACCCACCTCTACGGTATTTCTTGTGATCAAAACATGGTTTTGTGACATGACATCTTGGTATTATTATGATTATTGAAATTTTCATAAGAAGAAAAGGTTTTACACAAGCTGAAACGGCTCATCTAACTGCTTTGAAGCTCCTGGTTGGACTACAACTATGTGTACTTTGAATGCAGGTACCATTTGGCAAGAGCATCTTTGATGATGACACAGAAGATGACCTTTTTGCCTCATGTGTTGAGAGTCCCGATACCTCCAGTCATGAGCACAGGGATACAATCTTTGCAGCAGGTTTGTCTTTTGTCTTTAGTGAGGTCATCATTGTGAATGTAATCTCTTTTATACCTTTTAATATATTTAAGCCCTGGACAATATGACGTTGCAGGTGTTCTAATGCACTGGGTTGGAGCGCAGTGAGCAAATAGGGTTGGCATTCACAGGCTATCTTGGCAATAAAATAATGATGCATTTAAATTTTTGTCAGTGTAAACTGCAGAAGAATCTTGGTGGATAAAATTCTAAAGAGAAGGGGTGATATAACCCAAAATTTGGTATAACCAAAAAACTAGCACTGTCCATTTTCAAACCACGATATACACGCACATATGTTTCCATAGAAAGAAGCTGCTTATAGCTTGCTGGGTGTATTAATTTTTTTTCATGAGAGCAAATGAATTGGGCCTCACATACAGAAACTCTTGGCGTGCCACAAAAGAATGCGTCACGGCTTTGCGTGAAGCTGACTGAAGTACCCAAGTCTGCTCTTCCATAGCTTTCAGCAGGGACACTGAATTGCTTCAAGGTGGCTCAGTAGTCCTTGTGCGAATATTCAAATTCACTTCCATTCGAAATTGAATTATTGAAAATTTCAAAGTATTTGCAATGAACGAATAGATGCATATTACAAAAATGTTCCATAATCAGGGTAAGTTCATGGTTAAAAATGTACTCAGACTTCACACAACAAATAACAAAAACTACACAGATATATTGCCATCTATGCGGGTGGCATTCTCAGTATGCACTGGCACTAAATGAGACCAGGTCACCCAGTCTACTTCTAGACTCGTCACATTACATGCTGCAGGGGCAAGGAACAGCTTCTCGAGTTCTTGTTGATCCGCCGTGACAAGTCGGCGTTCAACAACAACCGCGGCCCCCCTACCGGATGTGTACAGAGGCATAGGAGGCTAAAAGTTGACTGGGCGACCTCTCATTTGGTGCCAGTGAATACTGAGGATGCCACCGACATAGACTGGGTGACCTTCTCTTATTTAATGCCAGTTCATACTGAGGATGCCACGTGCATAGGTTGCAAAAGGTTTGTGTAGTTTTTGTCATATTTTGTAGTGTTAAGTTGGAGTATATGTTTAATCAAGATGTATAGTATTAGTGCGCATGTAACTGCGTGTAATGGTGGTTTTACTGCAGTATAGGCGTGCTAAGCCGTGAAAGCACTTGTTCAGGGAAAATCTGCCCTGCCATGAAGCCTTACTTCACATTTAAAGGGGCCCTGCAACACTTCTTGAGCATGGCCAGAAAACGCTGCCAATCGATGGTTGAGGCTAGCGGGAACCTGCGAGTCAACTATTATATTACAGCATGCGGCCGGTAATTCATAATAAATTTTCAAAGTCAGCTAAACGTTGCTCTCTTCTCTCTGCAAATGATGCCACAAGCTCAAAAGTCACTCGTCACAGCTGTTGTATAATACACTGGCTGATTTGAGCATGGCGTGCTCAGTCGTTACTGAGGCCTCCACTTGCCACGCGTACGTGGGCAATCGCACTCGGGGGTGGAAGTGCTGCACCAATTGTGCCATTCTGTGCCAATCTGACCTACTGTGCCAGACTTCGTATAAACGGCGATTTCTGCCATAATTATCGATTGAAAGTGTAAACTGCCAAATCTAGTTGATTATTATCATTGGTCGAGCAACACAGAGCATTGGCTGCACAAAGCATGCGGCCACGTCCATTTTTAGCGTGGCTTGATCATGTTGTAATTGTGTTCATTCATAGGGCTTGCTAGTGGTCATGTCATCGCTGTTATCGGCGTGGTTGTCCCCGCAAAAGTGGTGGCCCCAACACGAGTAACTGCCAATTGTCTATTTATACAGATGTACTAAATGGCAGCACATGTTTACAAGTAGGAATGTGATTCTCCTGACGTGCGCCATTGCCACGAATAAACATAGTACCACAGCAGATTTTGTCCGAAGTACCCACCAGAAAGTCTTTTCTTCCTTTTTACCAAAGTGTGCTAAAGATACTTGGCTGGCACTCTCGCACGATTGTTTCATAGCTCCAAGGAGCATTTCGAAACTATTACACGGTCCGGGATACGCAGCAACTGAAATAGGGACAGCACAGACGCTATATCTGTAATGAGCGTGTGGCGCCCTGCCCCGTCTATTTTCATTACCTCGCCAAGTTCGGCAGGCAACCTTGGTCGTGCTTGGAACATAAACACTGACGAGCGCTGCTCGGCAGCACGACCTTCTCTATAACCTTACGACCTGCTCATGCCGCCGCTCCCCGTGTCGCCAGGTTTGCTTTTGCTTGTTTAATTTTTTTTCAGTTCTCAAAAGTACTGCAGCACGCCATGGCGCCACAACTAACCCTCATGGCTGCAGCCGCCAAAGCACTTTTCTGCATGGTGCGTCTGTGCGTTGACTCGTTTTTGTGCCATTTGAAGGTTAACATTTGTCAGGATATTTGTTCAGTACTCGGGAGCATTAGGGTAAGACAGCTACAGCACCATTCCCATAATGGTGTACTGCTGCGTTCCATTCTGCAAGTCGAGCCGCCAGCGGTCACCTGGGATATCGTTTGACGAGTTTCCCGTCACTTAGATTTGACAGTGTCAATGCTAAAAGCTCGTGGAATAGAACAGGGACAGTTCAAAGTGATTCAGCCAGTTAGAACGCATGGTTTAGACTCATACTCGCGTTTCGAGAAAACATTATTCACTTTACGGAAATAGAGCGCGACAAAAGCTGTTGTCACTTAATGCATTGTATTTTGCTGCTCCAGGGATAAAAGCTTGGTGACATCGCCGGTGAGACACGCACGGAAACACCAGCGGTGCTCGAACAGTGGCAATAACTGCAACGAATTGCTGCAGGTGCGAGAAATCGCTGTAACAACATTGCAGTAATCCACCGGCATTATTGCACGCTTCCATCGATCGTTTGACGTTTACCAGACATAACTGCTCAGCTGCTCCCTTCTATTGTTATCCGTGAACAGTATCATTGAAGGACGATATGCAGGGCATGAAAACTTACACAGGTCACCGCATGCGTTGTTAGTATCATATGCGTCTTTATTTGCATCGCAGAAACTCCGATTTCAGGTTTCAACTCGTTACAAGATCGAAGTCTTGCCTACGGACAAATTATTTCTGCACCTTGTGGACACCGGTTAGGTGGAGCGCACTGCGCAACACAAACGGGTGGTGTGTCGCATATTGCTCGCCTGCGCTTAGACGAGGACACAAAACCGCTCGTGCAGATTGAGTTCCTATGGAGTTCCTGTAATAATCATCCCGGAGCCAACCGCCATGGTGCTTCTCACAGATAGAATGTTGCTTTTATTTGTTAAATATGTGGGTTGCTTGATCGATCCGTTATAAATAAGATGAAAAATTGCAGAAACGTGCGCACACGAGTGCACCACTACGGCAGCACGTCGTCTGCTATGAGGATAGGTCATGGCGGCACCTCACAGAATCTCTGGTTCCTACGCACCAATTTTCTGGCCTACACGCCTCCATAGGGGTGGTGCCAGTGAGTAGGTTGTAATTTTATAGAGGAGGTCGTGCTCGGCAGTCAGTAGCTATTACTCCATCATGCGTGTGGTGTCATCCTTGTCAGAGAGGGGTGCCTCTGCCCTCCCTCTCATCCACGGTCTATGGGACAGATCATGACACTGGCGAGGAGTTCAGTCATCGAGCCGACCCACGCCATCGAGAGCGGTAAAACAATGTCTCCCGCATCTGACGCCATGCCATGGTACGGAAGGCTTGAGCCGTTTGAGGGAGACGGGTCCACCTGACCCATCTATGAGGAGCAAGTACACGTGTTTTTCCACGCTAACGACATGTCTCATTGTTTCCGAGAAACAACGGGACATTTTCCTGGGCAGTTGTGGAACCCAAGTCTTCAGTCTCCTGCTCGACCTCCTAAAACCAGCTACACCGCATAACAAGACGCTCAGTGAGTTGCTCACTACACTGCGCTCGCACTTCAGTCCGGCTTCGTCCACGCTAATGGGGCATTTTCCCTTCAACGACCGGAGCCACTGGGAAGGGGAGAGCCCCAAGCAGTTCATCACTGCGCCACGAGGTTTGGCGAGTACCTGCACTTTCGGGGACCAGCTGGACTCGCTGCTACGGGATCGTTTCGTCTGCGGCATAAACAACCCTGGCATGCAGACGCATCTCCTGGAACTTCCCGACCCCGCATTGGACGACGTGGTGAAAGCAGCGCTGGTGATGGCCGCGGTGACAAAAGACGCCAGCGAGATTGTGCTTGCGGTGTCAACAGAAGCTTCGGTCAACAAGATGGTGGCAAGGAGCAGTAGATGCAGTCGCTGTGGTGACGGCCATTTCCCCTCACAGTGCCAGTTTATACATTCGCAGTGCTTCACATGTGGAAAAACTAGGCACCTTGCTCGAGTATGCCGAATGGGGAAGCAGAATAGCAGACCACAGCAGCAGCCTAGATCAAGCCCAGGTTTCACACCAGCCCGCGGTCAGGGTAGGCGTCGCAAGTGGTGGTGGGGAAGTGCGGCAGCAGGCTCGGGTTCCTACGCAGCCAAGCTCAACGTCGTGACCAAGGACCTCCCTATTTTCAACATGTGGCACACAGGCCTTGCCCCGCTGTCTGTGCCGCCGTATGTACTAACCGTCGAAGTTTGCGGGCGCCCCATTTTCATAGAACTGGACACGGAGGCCAGTGTGTCGGTCATGGCTGGCAAACATTTCAAAAGGACCTTCCCTAGAGTGGCTGTCGAGGCTTCAGGCGTCATGCTGCGAAGTTACTCGGGTGAGCTTTTCCAGGCCCAAGGCCAGGCCCAGGTCAGCATTGGTTTTGGCAACAGGGAAGCTACCCTTCCTCTGTATTTGACCACAGTGTCGTCACCGACGCTCCTCGACTGGAATTGGATTTGCACACTGGGTATTCGGCTGCCAGAGGGCCAGGAAGCAGCCTTACATGGCGTTCACGGCATCCCGAGTCTCCTAACGGAGTTCCAGTCACTGTTTTAGCCAGAGGTTGGCACATTCGC